TTTGTGGAAGTCATCTCCTCTTCCCGGGTTGTGGCTGTGCACAGAAGCAGCTCCTGCCCCCGTCCTCCTCCCCCGGCAGCCTCTCCTCTCGGCCTTTGCTTTGCTTTCCTTCCCACCAGTCCAGACACCAAAAAACCCACGCGCTTGGTGGGTGTCGCAGCTCCGCTGCCGTCAGTTCCCAGCCTCGCTGGGAGGCAGAGTCTCCAGCTGAAAAAGATCTCAACTCCTTTCTCTCCAAAACTTTTTGGAAAGTACTCTTTGAACATTGTTTTCTTATTTTTATTATTTTCCATAAAATCAAAATTCAAATCGCGTTTTTCCCAATTTTCTGTTTCTGAATGGTACATTTCCTGTTTTCCTGCCCTCTCCTCTAGCTTTAGAAATGGTTGCGGCGGAGGGGGCAGGGACACGGCAATGAGCAGAGGAGTGAGAAAAAGTACAGGCGAGAAACAGTAAAAATTCAAATGCTTGACGCTAACGAGATTCGATCCAGTTTGTGTTGGAAGGCTGTGACTGGATGAGAGTTCGTCCCTGTCTGCAAGTTTTAGGGTGCCAATGACTTGAGATTTTCCTGCCATTTTCTCTCCAACTGTTTTTTAACGACTCGCCCATGAAGGCTTTCTTGGGCAACAGGGCTGCGGTTTGCATTGGGTACCTGGCAGGATTTCCAGGTCCCCGTCCCTGTGGTGTGTTCGGTGGGTGCTGGCGATGCCGGGGAGTCATCGGCACCCTGACGGCTCTGCAGCCTTTCTTTATCTGCTCCATCTACCCATCTCCCATTAAGACAGAATCGGCACAATATGTCCCTGTATCTGTAGTTAAGCTGGAGGCGTGTGCCATTCCCCGGCACCGCGCGGCAGCAGGGTTTGTCCTCAGCTCCTGGGACGTGCCGGGATGTGCCAGGAGGTGCCGGGGCGGCGCAGCTGCTCACGCTCCCCCTGTACCCGCAGATCGCCTCCCTGCTCAAGGACCACGAGCGCATCCAGGCCGGCCAGACCAGCGCGCCCAGTGACGACGACAGCGACATCAAGAAAATCAAGAAGGTGGGTGGGGGGCGTGGGGGCCGGAGCCGGCGCTCGGCGGGGTCCCGGTGCTCGTGGCGGCGTGGCAGGCGTGCTCCGTGTGGGGCCGGCGGAGCGGTTGGCCTGGGGGAGCTGTCTGAGGAGGTGCCTCTGCTAACGGGGTTTTCTTGGGAGGAAAATGTGTTTTGCAAACCTGGAAACCCTTCTGTTGGTTGTGTTTGCTCCGCGGGGCACGCCCTGCTTTTCCCTGGTGAATGAGGCATCCCTGCCCGTGCCAGCTCATGCACAAATAGCACCTCTTACATCTCCTCCTCCCGTGGCTGCGGTTACATCTCTTATTTTTGCAAAGAACAAGCCCTGCAGGGAGCAACAGACCCGGTGAGGAAATCTGCTCCGCATAAGGCACTCTTGGGGAGAACAAGCTGCACTCGCCAGCAGACGCTGCCTGCCGTGCACCCCGCTCCCGCAGGCGATGCCCTGAGCCCGGCAAGCACGGAGGTGCCTTGGCCTCCCCACGGTGCTGCGGAGGGAACCGGCACTGTCGCTGCTCGGGGAGCGGGTCCTGCCCTCAGCCGACCCCCAGGAAAGCCTCTGCTGTCCCTGGGTGCCCGCTGCCCCGTGCAGGGGACGGGGGGTTGAACCCTGCGGGCCTGGGGCAGCGGGCAGCAGCCGCACACATGGCCGGAGCTCCGGGCGCGCACCGGGATGTGCTGTGGATGCACATTTACATGAGGAAGGGTTGGAGGATTTCTAGGTGTCTTAATACTCCTCTGTGTGTATGGGTGCCCAGACAGGTGCTGGCTCCAGGGGGGCTTTGGTGCCCGGCTTCACCGCGTGACTGGGGGGTGCTGGGTAGGGCTGAGCACCCGGCAGGCTGGGAGTCTCCGTACCCGCACGGTCCTGCTGGCAGGGAAGTGCCCGGTGTCGTGGCTGTGCTGGGGAGGTCAGGAGTTAACATGGGATCCTTGCTCCTTGTAGGAGTCTTCCGTGCATCCCTGTAAAAGGGAAAAGAGGACATTGTCTGCAATAAGAAAGTGCATTTAAATGAGTTATTGTTCGTTTCCCAGCCGGGAGGATTCAGAGCAGCACCAGTAACAGGCACCATCGTGCACACCTCAGCACAGAGCCAGGGAGACCTCGCAGCAGAGCCGCGGCCCCTGCACCGTGCCGAGCACGCGGCGCCTGCCCGGCTCGCCAGCCCCGACCCTAACGCGGCCGCTGCTCCCTTGGCAGGTGCAGAGCTTCCTGCGGGGCTGGCTGTGCCGGAGGAAGTGGAAGACCATCATCCAGGACTACATCAGGTCCCCCCACGCCGACAGCATGCGCAAGAGGAACCAGGTCGTCTTCAGCATGCTGGAGGCAGAGGCCGAGTACGTCCAGCAGCTCCACATCCTCGTCAACAACTTCCTGCGGCCGCTGCGGATGGCGGCCAGCTCCAAGAAGCCTCCCATCACGCATGACGATGTCAGCAGCATATTCCTCAACAGGTGAGTGCCGTCCCGGGCTCCAAGAGCTCTGTGGCACCCTGGCAGAGCCGGCGGCCTCCAAGCAGGTGTTGGTGTCCGCAGCCCACTGCCCTCCCCTGGGAATGGGTGTTGGGGCGCTCGGTGCCAGGGGGCTCCCCGGGAGCCTGCAGCCTGGCCCCCAGAGCCGTGGATGGAAGCTCACCATCCCCATGGGACACCTGCGCGAGCAGCCCGCTGAGCGCTTGGCAGTGACACGAGGAGGTGCCATGGGGGCCGATGCTCCAGGGCCTCGGTAGCGGGTCAGGGCTGCCAGGAACCTGTCTGAGGTCCTGGCTCTGGCAGTGGGGGGGACGGTGTCCTTCAGCATTCATAGCAGCCCATAGGTAACGACGGATTAGTGAAGCGAGGAGGATGCAGCTCTCATGGGAGGTGGTATGGAGGGGCAGGCGTAGCCTCTCCTGCAGCTGTGACACGGGGTCACAGCCGCTGCAAAGTGTGCCGAGAGCGGCTGTGCCTGGGCGCTGGCGGGGATGGGAGGTGGCACTCACCGACTCCAGCCAGGCCACGGTGATGCCAAGTGTCAGCAGTATACGCCATGTTTAACAGCAGCTGCAACAGCTCCGTCCCGTGGATGCTACTGACACCGGCGGCACGGCACGTCTTACCAGCCAGCCCTGGAGGTGCCGGCCACCCGCCCCTTGCGGAGGGGAGCATCTCCGGGAGCAGCGCTTGCTGCTCCTGGCGTTCGCTCCTGCCCCTCTCCGCAGCCCTTACTGCTGCTGCTGCTGCTGCGAGCTCCCCGGGCTGCCTTGGGTGCCAGCCTGCCTTGGAAGCTGAGATGGACCCAAACTCCAGAACCCAAATTCCAGTTTTCCCCTACATCTGGGCTTGTGTGAAGCCAGCGCCTTGGCTAGGGCCAGCACAGGCAGAGTGAATGCTGCTGGGCACCCCTCCTCTGCCTTGTCTCATCTGAAGGAGGTCCCTCGCCATGGGGTCTCTTGGAGAATGAACGGTGGAGCTCCGCTGCATTTCGGGGTTGACTTCTGAGGGGAGCTTCAGGCTGCTCGGTTCCTCCCTCTCCTCCTCCGTCCTCCTCCACCGTTCCCTGCGTGCCTCTGGGACCCTCTCTGCACCCCCAGCCAGTCCGAGGGCTCCCCTTCCCCTCTGGGCTGGTGATTTTGTCTAATTACTCATTATTTTCTGCTTGTTCATCTGTCTTTTCACCCCTTGGTTTATCTTTCAGTGAAACGATCATGTTTTTGCACCAAATCTTTTACCAAGGCCTGAAGGCGAGGATATCCAGCTGGCCGACGCTGGTGCTGGGTGAGTGCCTGTCGCCTCCTCGCCGCGTTTCCTTCCCGCTCGCTGGTGAAGCCGAGCCTGCGCTCCTTCTCCCACGATAACAGGGGTTTTGCTAACTGGCAGCAGCAGTGAAAGGCATCGCACAGCACGTCACTTCTTCGTGTTGGTCACGGGGGTGAGGACCCGAGCAAAAAAAATGGAGAAACCTAGTTCCTGTGCTCCTGGTTCTGCCGGGTGGTGGAAGGGGTGGGCTGGACCATGCACGGGAGAGCTGGTGCTGAAGAGCGTTGCTGTGTCCGATTAGACCCTCAGCTGGCTCTGCAGGGTGTCTTTAAAACCCAAACTGGGCAGAGCTGGGGCTTGCACAAGCAGCACGAGGCCCCGGGGGAGCCCTGGGTGGGACCCGGGGGCGAGGAGGGTCCTGAGCCGGGGCGGCTGTGCTGGGACCCCAGGGCACGGGCTGGACCAGCACACCCACCTCCCCACCGCCTCCCTGCCCCCAGCCGACTTGTTCGACATCCTGCTGCCCATGCTGAACATCTACCAGGAGTTCGTGAGGAACCACCAGTACAGCCTGCAGATCCTGGCGCACTGCAAGCAGAACCGGGACTTCGACAAGCTGCTGAAGCACTACGAGGCCAAGCCTGACTGCGAGGAGAGGACCCTGGAGACCTTCCTGACCTACCCCATGTTCCAGGTGACGGCTGGCGCCGGGATCGGCCCCAGGGATGCCACCACAGCGCTGGCGGTGCGGGACGAGCTGGGCGGTGCAGACCCCAGCCCCACAGCAGGCATCGGGTGGTGGGGAGGCAAAGCCCAGGCAAAGATGGCCTGGGGCTGGACCCCGTGTGGTCCCACGCTGCTCCGGGGACCTGCTCAGGCCATTGCGGAGCTCGTCGGTGCTGCGGGAGGACTCTCTGGGTGAAGCTGCTGGCTTCCCAGTTACCCTGTGCTGCTGGGGCGTGGATGGGGCACAGCAGAGTCCTGGGCAAACCCCCACACCATTCCCCCTCTTCATTAAGTTTTAGCACGAAGAGCTTTGAAGCTTTCATAACCTCCCAGAGCAGGGCATCCGAGGCATGGTGTCGCTGGCCACGGCAGCTCCCGGCGCAGCGCAGGGTGGGCACCCACAGCGCTCTGTGCCCCCTCCAGCCCGCCCGCCCCCGCGCTGTGCCGCGGCTGATTCCCCGCTCTGGTCTGTCGTGCCGCAGATCCCCAGGTACATCCTGACGCTGCACGAGCTGTTGGCTCACACCCCCCACGAGCACGTGGAGAGGAACAGCCTGGATTACGCCAAGTCCAAGCTGGAAGAGCTGTCCAGGTCAGACCCGCCGCTGCCTGTCCCTGCCTGTCCCTGCCCGTCCCGGTGGCTGGGGCTGCGGGACCGGGGGCAGCTCTCGCACCCAGGTGGTTCGGGCTCGTGGAGGGGCTCTCGGCCAGGCTGCTGGCATGGTGTGCTGCCCTGCTGCTGCACAGGGAGCGGGGCTGGGGCAGGCAGACCCTGACCCACAGGGTTTGGAGAGGGTGCCGTGCTGGTGGGACTGGGCTGGCCCGAGTGCTCCTACAGCACCCGCAGGGTGAAGCCGGTGGAGATGGTGACGGGCGGGCTGTGCTGTCCCGCTGGGGCGGGATGCAGGAGGAGCTCAGTCCTCGGTTCGCTCGGAGCCCATTGGCCATCCCTGACAAGGATGACTCCCCCCGTGAGCCGCTGGCACAGGGAGATCGGCCCGGTCGTGCAGGGGGTGCCGTGGGTGGCGGCGTGGGGAGCTCGCCCAGGTGCCTTCGGCCACCCCTGCACCCTGCCTGCTGCTCGGGCGCGGGCAGCAAACGCAGCCCTGCGCCAAAGGTGCCCCGCGCTGTTTTAGCCAGGACCTGCCCTCCCATTGCCCTCGTCCTCTGCGTTTCAAAGGCTGAGGCGTTCCAGTGCCGTCTCCTGCCCTCCTGTGCAAATCCGGGAGGGGGGCTGGGTCCTCCAAGGTCTCTGCAACGAGCACCCGGGAATCAGCCGCGGTTCCCCATTTCTGATCCTCTCCCTCCACAGGCCACGGACCAAAGCGTTCTGTGTGTCCCGTGCCAGCGTATGGCAATGGCACCAAACCCACCGGCACTCCTCGGTCCCGAGGCGATCCGTAAAGAGTTTCCATCCCTTTTCCCACTCCTCAAGGAGCAGGCACATCAGAGGGGGCTGGTGACGGGGGGGATCTGCCTGTCACTAAATCCAAATCTTGTGCTTTCTGAGTAAGAAGCACTTGCGTTTCAGTATTTACCAATCCGGAGGTACAGTGCAGGCTGATGTGTAGGTTACCCCCTGAGCTCCTGGGCCTGTGCAGATACAGATGACTGCTGTAATGCCCTTGATATTCCTTTGGTTTTGGTCTTACCTAGCGCAGCCCCTCCGGTCCGTTAAAAGGGATCTGCTGGGAAAAGTGCAAATCTCATCCGAGCTCCCATTTCTCTTCCCCCTCCTTCAGGATAATGCACGATGAAGTGAGTGAGACTGAAAATATTCGAAAAAATCTGGCGATAGAGAGGATGATTATTGAGGGGTGTGAAATTCTGCTGGACACCAGCCAGACTTTTGTAAGACAAGGTACGGTCTTTGCATCGACATCCCTCCCCTCCACGGTTAACGCAAAGCCCAGCAGCCCCCGGCCCCCCGGCACCGCATCCCTCCGCAGCGCGGTCCGGTGAGCTGTGAAATTTAAAAATACAACCCATTTCTGGATTTTCTCTGCTCCGAAGCACCTCACTTTCAGACAGTCTCGGCACTGGATTTTATTGCATCACGGAGCAGAACGCGCATTTTAGCCGTTACGGATTTCCTACCACCGGAGGAGTAGTGGGACGCGTCCTGACCTCCTGGGCACGCTCGGTCCCGGAGGAGCACCTGCGCGCGGTGGGTGCAGGGGTGGGTTGGGGGCCGTGGTTGGTGCTTGCCCGGTCTCTGGGCCCCGATAGCCCGCACAGCCGGTGGCTCACGGGGACGGTCCCAGTCCCAGTCCTGGTGCTTGGGGACGTGCTTGCCCCTGCCCCACTCCGGGCCCGCAGTGATGCCCTGCTCCCAGGGACTGTGCCCTCAAAGCTGCCCCCAGTGCCGATGGCAGGGACGGGTCTCTCCCCTCCGCAGGTTCCCTTATCCAAGTGCCGATGTCGGAGAAAGGGAAGATCACACGGGGGCGGCTGGGCTCCCTCTCGCTGAAGAAGGAGGGTGAGCGGCAGTGCTTCCTCTTCTCCAAGCACTTGATCATCTGCACCAGGGGCTCCGGGGGCAAGCTGCATCTGACCAAGGTGCGGAGGGCGGCGGGGGCTCGGCGGCCCCCAGCGAAGGGTCCGGTGGCTGCCGGGCTTGGAGCTGGTGCCGCTGCCTGGGGTGCCGGGGCACGGGCTGGTGCATGGGGAGGGGGCAGAGGCTGGCACTGCTGCAGCCCGAGCTGGCCGAGCTCTCTCAGTGACACCGGGGTCTCCCGGTGACACCGAGGTCCAGGGACCACCTTGCCCTGCGCTGGCTGCAGCCTCCTGGTGGTGCCGGGCTGGGAACAGGCAGGCAATCGGATTTATTTCGCATGGTCCTTGTCAGTGATGTGCAGAGCTCTGAGTCACGGGCAAAGATGAGAAATTGCAAGTTCTCGATAAAAGAAGTTATCCTGATTTGCAGCAGAAACCTTGACAATCTATTCAGTGAGAAAGTTAAATTATAGCCTACGTTTGTACATAACGCTCACAGTCTCCTCCAGTCCGCTCCCAAGCCTCACGCTTTTGTTGGTGGAAGTTTTGCAGTTAATTGAGCAAGAATCTTACAGAGATTGCTCATTACTGGCATTAAATTATCAGTTTGAAAAATTACAGTCCATGGCAAAGAGTTGATAATTACAACAACAGACTTTTGGAAAATTTAATTTAAAGCTCATATTAAATAATTTATAAACAAATTAGTTCATCGGTTATACAAGGAAAACTGTGATATCCCAGCAGTCAGCAACTGCTTTTTTCCCAGAGAAAGCAGGCACTGCGCTGGCCGCGGGCTGCATGCAGCCGTGCTGAAACCCTCGGCGGCATCGCCCCGTCCCCGGGGCGGTGGGGGACCCTCGGCGGCATCGCCCCGTCCCCGGGGCGGTGGGGAACCGTCGGCGGCATCGCCCCGTCCCC